GCCATGTTCTTCGCATTGGTCACCACATCAATCATCTCTCTAGTGAGGTGGGCAACAACTCTTCTACCTCTCCGATAATGTTGCCAATAATTCTGGGTGTCTCGGGATGTCGAGTCTTCTTTTCAAAAGTCTCTCTTGTTGCTCTTCACGAGTTTCAGTTCCACTCATTTTGGATCAAACACTTTTTTCTTCAAATATTAACACAAGGCTATAAATTTTGTCACATATCTCTAGACATAAATAGAAAGTACTTTATTCTCAATAGTAATTATTTAAAAATTAATTGGAGTTACTTAATACTTAATTTTAAATCATTTGTCATCATTCCAAATAATATTTATCAAAATCTTAAAAGATAGACTCACTAATGTTGACACAAGTAATCTTACAAACTCCAAATTGTGAATACATAATAACAACATGCAATCATTTATAGTAGATTTATCTATTGAATATAAATAATATCTAGATGGTCAAAAGGGAGGATGATAGACACATCCAATTTTGGCATTGAGCTTTAACTTTAATAGTGATGATCAAATATCAATTTTCAAAACAGGAAACAAGCATCATATGAATTTAAAATAAATAAATAAATAAATCGTATGGTTCTTTAATTAATATATATTCAAATTTTCATTTGACATTATTATTAATCTAGTGATAGTTTAACTAAGCATGCTAAATAGTAAAATATTAGAGTTATTGAACTTTTGATTCAATACAATGTTTGTTTCAATTGTAAAAATCTTAGTTTTAAGTATTCCTTCTTTTTCTTCTTCAAGGATACATGAAAATTACAATGAAGTGCTTAGATGTATAACAAGTACACAAATAGGTGAATAAACAAATATTGCCTACTTTCTAATAATTAATAAAGAATTAAATAATACAATATAACTGAATGATCAATAATTTAACTATATCCATTACATATAAACAAAAAATGTTGTATACTTTTATTCAATTATTTATATTTATTCATAAAATTCACATTTAAATAACATCTCTTCATGAGATCAATTCATATCATGTCATTAAAGAAGCAATCCTATGTTTCGCATCCCGACCCCAATTTACTATGGGGTCAATCCTAATACACTATAACCAATAGATATCATAGGAGAAGAAGCACTTTTTCGAGATGTGCTACTTCCAAAGCGTAACAAAATATTATCATTATTTCTTTTAAATAATGATATATTTAAACTCATGCTTCTTTAAAAGCAATATCTTACTAATTTTTATAATACTAAAATTGTAATATTGCGTCATTCGGGAGCAAATGATATTGTTTTAGATTATATATACACATAATGATTCGTGCTTTATCAAGAGCAAACGATATAATATATTCTAAAATATTAATGTTGTATAAAGTTGTTTTTCTTCAATAATCACAACACAATACTGAATTGTTTAATTTGTGCTTCTTTGAAAACACAATGACATATATTTTTCAAAAATAATAATAAATTTATGCTTTTTCATGAATGATGCTATTCTTCTAAAGTATTGATTGAATACAAGGTGGTTGTTCTTCAGGACTAACAACTCAATTGCATCATTTTGCATCATTTCCACTCCAACAATGATTGCCAGCTCTGGCACTTCAAGCTCGAACAAGTAGTTATATGGCATTCCCTTTTTTTGTTCTTGCTAATTCTTCTTGACCCAACAAGAACAAGGTTTTGATTGGCATGACCACTGGTTTCCATTTTCAGAATTTTTGAAGAAGAAAATTATAATATTTTGCCTAGCTTTTCTTTTGAAAGAGATTTTATTCTTTCTCTTATATTGCGTGTTTCCCCCCCCTTTCGGAACAACTGCAAAGGTGTGTACACTTTTTTAAAATAAGATTGAATCGAGTATAGAGTGATCGGCAAAAGAAAATGGTAATTGTACAAAAACGTCATTACATTTCAATGTTATTATGCAAAATGTCTCTATTTATTCATTTTTTGACATTTTCAACTCTATTTTCACATTTCATTTTAGAGAAGGTCATTTTCTCAATAAAAAAATGTAAAATAACAAATATACTCTCCTAATTAAATAAGACAAAAAAAGAAAAAAAATTAAATTTTTTTTTAATTATACTCCGAAACTTTTTTAAAAATCGCAAATGAGTCTAAATAAATTATTAAAATGGCAATTAGCACAAAAGGTCTATACATATCCATATTATTGTAAAAAAATCACATATCTTTCATTTTTTGACATTTTCACATTACATTACAAAAATCATCATTTTCATCTATTTTCTTAAGTAAAAGCATTAAAATGACAAATGTACCCTCCTATTTAAACAAAAAATAAAGAACAAATTGTAACTATACTCCCAAAATTTTCAAAAATAGTATATGTAAATTTCAAATAAATAATTCGAAAAGAAAAATGATTTATTTCTTTTTTAATTATTTATTTGAAATTTATTTGTACTTTTTTTAAAAAAAAATTGGCAGTATATTTGCAATTTGTTCTTTATTTGTCTTTTCTTTATTTTTGTTTTACTTAAATATGATGACATATTTGTCATTTTACATATTTTAATTGAAAAAGGGATGAAAATGATAATTTTCGCAATAAAATGTGAAGATAAGCTAAAAATGCCAAAGAATAAAGGATAGGGACATTTTTCATAATAATATTGAAAGGTATGAATGTTTTGTGTTAATTACCCTTTTAATAGTTTTTTTGGACTCATTTGTTATTTTTAAAAAACTTTAGGATTATAATTGCGATTTGTTCTTCAATTTTTCTTTTCTTTTCTTTTTTGTTTAATCTAAATAAGAGGGTAGATTTGTCATTTTACAATTTTTTATTGAGAAAATGACCTTTTCTATAATGAAAGGTGGAAATAGAAGTAAAAATACCAAAAAAATAAAAGGTAAAAATGTTTTCCATAATAACATTGAAAGGTGTGAATGTTTTGTACTAATACCCGAAAAGAAAAATACATTTTCTGGTGTACACTATGAATAATGATTTCTCTTACACAAAATAAGAAGAGCATTTGTCCTGATAAAGTGTTATAAATTAAGTTGAAAGTTATAGAGCAAGAAAAAGAAAAAAGAAAAATAATAGAGTTGAAATTCAATTATGTATTTTATTATAACAATAATCCTTATATATATGATTTTGGTGAGAGATTTGAATAGAATACAAATTTTCAAAGTAAAAAAAAAAAAAAAAAAAAAAAAATTTTTGAAAAAAAAAAAAAAAATTTTAAAAAAAAAAAAAAAAAAAAAAAAAAACAACTTATTGAATTATCTTTGATAAAATTAGATAGTTATCAATAATTATCCCATAATTTTACAATAAAAGTGAGCTAAGATGTAAAATTTTGAATTATGAGAAACAGACTAAAGATAAATAATTTTGAATCATAAAAATTTACCAAAGGAAAGGAAGAATGAACCCTTCTTGTTATTTTTCTTTTTTGTTAACGCTAAATTATTAACATCTTCATACGCGAGGTCATATTCGTAATTTCGATTGAAATCGGTAGAAAAATCTCGCAAATCAAATCTATGAACGTAAAATAATAATATTAAATATTAAACACAAAAATAAACTACAAATAATTTGAATAAATAAATAAAGAACCAAAATTAACTAAAATTGAACAATTAAGCCAATGTTTACTTAATAAAGGATTAAATTTAATTACTGTAATGCAAAGAAATTAAATTTAACATAAACTCAAATTTTTAAGCTCTCTCACATGCACTAAAATTCTAAAATTAGTCAAAATTTTAGTACTAAACGTGTGTGCAATATTGACTTATGTCCCTATTTGATAAAAATTTAAATTTAAATTTAAATCAAAATTAATTTTAATCATGTATTTATGAAGATGACAAATTTTCGACCACGTGTTTTTATTAAGCCCTCTTTTTGCCCCATTATAATGGAAAAGTTGAGTAAAATGTATTATGAAATAGTTTTTTTGGTCCTTTAAAATGTAGTTAAAAAAATTTAAAAATTTTAATTTTTGTGTAATATTATTTTATTATTGATAAAAGTGTTATTGAAAAGAGAGAGAAAGGGGGAAAAAAAACACATTAAAATTTCAACGAGGGCCAAATAAAATAATTCTTCTGTGGGCCCTATTTGCATAGCACGAGTCGCACGACTCAGGCCAAGTCAAATTTCTCTGATTTTTCTTATTTTTATTTTATCATTGAATTTTATATTATACCCTTGTTTGAGCCCCATTTTAACCAAAAAAATGCATTTTAAATAATATAATGATATGAAATTTGTGGATAAAAAATAAAGAAAAATTTTAAATTTACATATAATATTATTTTATTGAAGAACGTATAATTTATAGTTAAAATAATGTCAAAATATTGTTTAAAAATATATTTTTTTTTTCAAAAAAATGGCTCAAACGAAAGCTAAAAATAAAAATAACTAAAAAAATTCAAGGACAACGAATAAACGGGGTTGTGCTTAATTCATAATTTGAATACAAAAAGATGTTCAGACCCGTGCTAGGTCAACCTCAACCCCATGTGAGGGATACGGACACCCTTATATACATATTCAGCTCCCATTTGATTTTCATTTTTGGGATAAAATAAATTATGTAATGGTAATTTTTTGAAAAATGTATGATTAATAAATAATTTTTTTTTTTGAAATTCGTGCATTATTATTTTATAAAAAAATGTGTGATAAAAAATAAGTTTAAAAAAAATGCATTTTTATAAAAATGATGATCAAACAAGGACTTAATTTATATAAAGACTTATCCAATAAACAAATATGTTAATCTATTTCTAGTAAAGACCCATCCAATCCTGAGGGACTATAAAGAAAATAAATAAAAATATAAGGACCAGAACGTAATATTGTATTCTTTGAGTTGCCTTTTCCTTGATAATAAAATAATAAATAAACCTTTACAACATTCTTTGCCTAGGGACCAAAAACCGGTCCTATTGAGCCGGCGAATTTCAGATCTCAATACAAAACCATTCGACCCGAAATCAATAATCAAACAACCCGTCTAACGCTACATATTCACCATTACCGTTAATAAGATCCTCCGACTCAACGAGGCCGAACTCAAACGAGTTATAACTCGGAATCTCCCCATCAAACTCCCAAAAACCGTGACCGAGTTCGGGCGAGTCAGGCTCAACTCGGATCGACTCAGTCAGCCCATCATTCTCCACTCCACTCGGCGATGCCGTTGACGGCGGAAGCCCAAGCTCATCATCTGAAGCTTCTAACAAGTACCCCAACTCCGGCTGCGATTCGGCGTAGTCCGACGTCAGATCCGCCACCTCAGGAGGTGGGGACCCACCATCAATCTCTTCCTGAAAGCTCATCATGAACGAATCCAGATCCAGATTCGGTGAAACAAAATCTGGGTCATCCTCCAAAGTTTCCAAAAGGTCTTCCTTCAGCCTCTTCAACTCAGCCGAGTTAGTTTCTTCGTCCAACTCAACCAAGTCGTTTCGCACTCTCTTCTTCTTCAACCCTTGTTCCATACCTTAATCAAATCATACACAACAAATTAAAAAATATCTCTGAAACTTGAAGGGAATTGTAGCAGATGTGATGAATTCCGGGGACAAGAAATGAGGATTTATATAGTGGAGAAAATGAGATGGGTAAAGAGTAATGATGTGACGTGGAGCGTGGGAAAGACTTTTCTTTGACGTGTCAATTCATCTGTACCTTGTGTCTCTCATTTGCGTTGGTAGTAATTTTTTAATTTTATATTCCAGAATTAAACCGGATTTAAATTTGGTTTGGAATCCGGTCAGTTAGAGTGGGGACCATCAGGCATAGTCAATCTCGGCCCATTCTCTTTCGGAGTTTGGTTAGGATTAACGTTAGATTTTTTATTAGATTATGATAGAAGTTTTTAAAATGTATGATTGAAAAGTTGTGAAATTTATGAAAAATGTGGTTAATATTGATTATTTGACTTTAACTTAAATTAAAATTAGATTTTACTCCATACCAAATGGACTCCTAATTTTAAAAATTTAATATTGTGAAATTTCAGTATTGTGCCCAACGTATTGAACTTATTCCGACCTGGTCCCGAACCTAATTTTCTTGTCATCAAGATCCCCAACCTATCAGTACGGTGGCACCATGATTCCCCAATGCCTGTTTTCATTCTCTATTGTGGAGAAATTCTAAGTTAGTATTTTATTTCAGATCAATTGATCAAGTTTAACAATCGTTTCAATTAATTCACTTTGTTAATTAGATTAAAAAAAAAAATCCCTCGTGTACACTTATAAATTTGTTGTGTATTCAATAGACATTGATTCTCTTGCCGCACAAACCTTAATTGGAATGACAAAATCATGAAACGTGTATCTCTCTCAATTGATTTTATTAAAATCATATTTCTAAGGACCTGTTTGATACAAGCTAATTCCAAGGAAAATGGATTAAAATCATATTTTCTAAGCGTCTGTTTGATACAAGCCAATTCCAAGGAAAAAGAATTTTCCACACATTTTGTCTTGTTTGATGGATAAAAATTTCCATGAAATTTGGTTTCCGCCCTATCCCACTCACCACGTGACTCTTTTTCTGGGTTTTCAAATAAATTATTTTTCTTTAGCTTTGGTGGGAAAAAAAAATTTCCAGCTTTTTTTATTTTTTTGGTGGCAATGGAAGCAAATTCTATCCACAATTGTAATAAATTTTATCCATTTAATTGACAATTTTTATGAAAAATAAAGTCAAACGAATATCAAAAAATACAAAATTTCAACATTCTCTAGGTGAAAAATTATAACAATCAAATACATTTAATTGATAATTCTCAGTAAAACAAGTTAGGCAATTCAATCCTGAAATTCCTTTTCTTTCCACCCAAATTCCATTCTTGCTATAAAAAAAACTCTAAATGTAATATCAATTAGGAGGAAAACGAGCATATTTCATTTCTAAAATCATCGAGGATTTCGTAAGAATTTGATTAACTTCCCATTAGTACACGGCCATACATACAGGCTTTCATGTCAATCTTGCTAACTGAGTGACTAAATATGATTTAAAGAGAGAATTTAAGGACCAAAAGAACCCTATAATTAAATCTACCTCGATAAGAGGAATTGTGAGAGGAATTATATCCACTGATTTATTTGTGATGGTAGCACATGGGCATGGGATATTTTTCAGGGAAGTTGATCGATAGGTTTGATTTGGACTTCTTGGTGTGGACGAATTGTAGGTAGGTTATATATATATATATATATATATATAACCTACCTACAATTCGTCCACACCAAGAAGTCCAAATCAAACCTATCGATCAACTTCCCTGAAAAATATCCCATGCCCATGTGCTACCATCACAAATAAATCAGTGGATATAATTCCTCTCACAATTCCTCTTATCGAGGTAGATTTAATTATAGGGTTCTTTTGGTCCTTAAATTCTCTCTTTAAATCATATTTAGTCACTCAGTTAGCAAGATTGACATGAAAGCCTGTATGTATGGCCGTGTACTAATGGGAAGTTAATCAAATTCTTACGAAATCCTCGATGATTTTAGAAATGAAATATGCTCGTTTTCCTCCTAATTGATATTACATTTAGAGTTTTTTTTATAGCAAGAATGGAATTTGGGTGGAAAGAAAAGGAATTTCAGGATTGAATTGCCTAACTTGTTTTACTGAGAATTATCAATTAAATGTATTTGATTGTTATAATTTTTCACCTAGAGAATGTTGAAATTTTGTATTTTTTGATATTCGTTTGACTTTATTTTTCATAAAAATTGTCAATTAAATGGATAAAATTTATTACAATTGTGGATAGAATTTGCTTCCATTGCCACCAAAAAAATAAAAAAAGCTGGAAATTTTTTTTTCCCACCAAAGCTAAAGAAAAATAATTTATTTGAAAACCCAGAAAAAGAGTCACGTGGTGAGTGGGATAGGGCGGAAACCAAATTTCATGGAAATTTTTATCCATCAAACAAGACAAAATGTGTGGAAAATTCTTTTTCCTTGGAATTGGCTTGTATCAAACAGACGCTTAGAAAATATGATTTTAATCCATTTTCCTTGGAATTAGCTTGTATCAAACAGGTCCTTAGAAATATGATTTTAATAAAATCAATTGAGAGAGATACACGTTTCATGATTTTGTCATTCCAATTAAGGTTTGTGCGGCAAGAGAATCAATGTCTATTGAATACACAACAAATTTATAAGTGTACACGAGGGATTTTTTTTTTTAATCTAATTAACAAAGTGAATTAATTGAAACGATTGTTAAACTTGATCAATTGATCTGAAATAAAATACTAACTTAGAATTTCTCCACAATAGAGAATGAAAACAGGCATTGGGGAATCATGGTGCCACCGTACTGATAGGTTGGGGATCTTGATGACAAGAAAATTAGGTTCGGGACCAGGTCGGAATAAGTTCAATACGTTGGGCACAATACTGAAATTTCACAATATTAAATTTTTAAAATTAGGAGTCCATTTGGTATGGAGTAAAATCTAATTTTAATTTAAGTTAAAGTCAAATAATCAATATTAACCACATTTTTCATAAATTTCACAA